GTTAGAGATGAATTAGGAGAGCAAGGAAAAACAGCAAATGAAAAAAATAATAAAGAAGCCAGCAGCGGCCTGGGATTGTATATGGGAACAGCTTTATTGAAGAGTAAGAAGAGCTTCTGCATTAGTTTATACAAAAAAAATGGGGTTAAACCCTCATTAAGCCAGCGCTGGAAAACCAGTCCTCCCCCCTGAACCCAAACTGGTCATCTTGCTTCCATTTCCAAAGGGATCCCCTGCTCATGATGGTGATGGAGTGTCTCAGTAGGATCCCATGCCCTTGGTTCATCTAACCACCTCAGCCAGGGCCACTTGGTTGCAACACACCAGTTTGCAGCATCAGTGCTACGAAATGTCATCACAGGGAGCTTGGAAATGTCACTTTTGGGGATGCTCTGGTTGCTCCCATGAGCTTCTCAGCCTGTGTAGGCACAGGACTGATGAACTCTCATGGAATCACGGAATCATCCGGGTTGGAAAAGCCCCTGAAGCTCCTCCAGTCCAACCATGAACCTCACCCTGACCATTCCCAACTCCACCAGATCCCTCAGCGCTGGCTCAACCCGACTCTTCAACCCCTCCAGTGATGGGGACTCCCCCCCTGCCCTGGGCAGCCCATCCCAACGCCCAACAGCCCCTTCTGCAAAGAAATCCTTCCTCAGAGCCAGCCTGACCCTGCCCTGGGCAGCTTGAGGCCATTCCCTCAGGGCCTGGTGCTGGCTCCTTGCCTCCAGAGACTCATCCCCCCTCTCTGCACCCTCCTGTCAGGGAGTTGCAGAGGGCCAGGAGGTCTCCCCTCAGCCTCCTCTTCTCCAGACTAAACCCCCCCAGTTCCCCCAGCCGCTCCCCAGCAGACCTGTGCTCCAGACCCTGCCCCAGCTCCGTTGCCTTTCTCTGGACACGCTCGAGTCATTCAATGGCCTTTTTGTGGTGAGGGGCCCAAAACCAAACACAGTAACTGAGGTGAGGCCTCACCAGTGCCTAGCCCAGGGCTCAGATCCCTTCCCTGTCCCTGCTGGCCACGCTATTGCTGATACAAGCCAGATTACCACTGGCCTTCTTGGCCACCTGAGCACACTGCTGGCTCCTGTTCAGCCGGCTGTCAATCAACACCCCCAGGTCCCTCTCTGACTGGCAGCTCTCCAGCCACTCCTCCTCAAGCCTGTAGCGCTGCTGGGGGTTGTTGTGGCCCAAGGGCAGCCCCCGGCATTTGGCCTTATTGAAACTCCTCCAGTTGGGCTCCGCCCATCGCTCCAGCCTGTCCAGATCTCTCCAAGCATGGTTGCTACATTCAACTCACAGACTTGATTTTTCTATGAACATTGATTTTTTTTTAAGCTGAGAACAACCCTCCCAGTGAAGCAGAAAGAGAGGCTATAACGACCAACTTGAAAAGATGGTCTTGGGGGATTGGCTGGTGAGGGATCCCACGCCAGAGCAAAGCAAGGTGGGGTTTGCTGCCTAGGAGAGAGGACCCTGGCTTCTCCAGAATCCCAGGATATACCAGCAATGGAGGACTGGATTTGGGACGGCACAGATGCCGTGCCACCTAGAAACAACTGAAGGGGAAGAGAAAGACGCAAGCAAGTCTTTGACTGATGCAGGGAAGGGAGAAGGCTTGCAGCTGAGCATGGCTGGTGGAAAGGGAAAGGCAGCCCAGACATGATGGGGTGCAGCTGCCTCTTCTGCCTGCAGCGTGGCTCAGCAAGGAGGGAGGTCTGGACTCACCGCCGTGTCTTCCAAGCTGTCCTCCGAGCTGGAGATGATGATGCTGTTGTCTTCTGCGGAGGGAACAGGGAGATGTGGTAGGTTCAAGACTGATTTTGGATCCCACAATTTTTCCCGTGAGAGGACTGATCTTATCTCCTGAGTTTTGCAGCTTCTACCAGGACCATTAACACCCAGCCCTTGGGAGCTCTTGGATGCACCCCAAGGTGGAGGCAACCTCTCCAGTGCTGCTTCACGCCATGGACCCTGTACCAGACTCTCCAGAAGATGCATTTCATCCTCCCTCCTGTTTGCAGAGCTGAGCCCAGGATCCCTTGCTTCAGGACGCTGCAGCAGGCTGGAGTGGGGCTGGGCGAACTCAGAGAAGAAAATGTGTTTTGCTAAAAATTGCAGTGTATTTTGCTCCAGGAAAATCCAGAGCTCCTGGAGCAGGAGGCTGGGGAGTCTCTCTGCACACTTACCCTGCTATTGTGCTCTTCCCTAGGCTTGGGCTTTGGCTACCTCGGAGGCAGGACATGGAGCCGGATGGAGCATTCACGTCCACCCCTGAGCATTGCTCTTGTATTTACGCCCCAGAAAGCAGCTCCCACCCTCTGCTTCTCTGACCCAGGGGAGGTTGGCCAAGGCTCTGAGTGCATGGGGTTGCACAGAAGTTGGAGAAATGGGGGACCCACCTAAGGCAGGGGAAGAGATGGGGTAATGAGGAGGGCCACGTCCCTGGTCCCCACCTGCATCATCAACGTGGCTGCTGGTAGCAGGGACACTGCTGCAGTTCCGGTTCAGCATGGAGGTGCTGGGCTCCCTTCTGCCATCCCACTGGTTTGAACTGCAATCGTTGGGGACTGGTGTGTTGTTACACTCCAGCTTCAATACTTTGGGTGAGATCTGGCTGCCCCTTTCCATGCAGTTTGACCTCCGCTTGGCCCATGTGGTGACGGGGACAGCCTGGAGAGAGGAGAGCACAGGGGGAGTAAGGTGCTGGGGTGGCATCTCCTGGTCGCCAAAGGCCTGGCCAGGGTGGTGCTTACCGGGCTCATGTGCATCTCCTCAAGGCTGATGGTGAAGGTGGGTAAGACGTCCGGGCTCTGAGGCTGGACCGGATCCTCCTGCTGCAGAGAAAACGCAAAGCAGCGTTGGGGTGAACCTTGAGACTACAGGCCCCTCTGCGGGGCTGAGGTGTCCCCGAGCAGCAGGCAGAGCCAGCCGGGGCACAGAAACATCCTCAGCATGGGGGAAACTGAGGCACAGCCTGTCTCTCTCTGGCTTGGCTCAAGGCTTGTGCCTGAGCTGTGCATGTTTGGCAGTGCTACAGCTGGTGGAGGCTGTGTTTTTCCCTGACAAAAATAAGGGATGAAGCAAGAGGCTTGGAGAAGCGGGATGGGGTAGGAGCACGCCTGGGTAGCATGAAATGATGGCTACAAAGGAGGTACTTCTCTGTCTAGGCAGAAACATCCCTGGGAGTTTGTTGTTGATGAAAAAATGGGAGTGATGGGCTAGGGAGGGGAAGTCAAACCCTTGGGAAAGGCTTGCAAAGGTCAGAGGAAGGGGGATCCACATTTCAACCCTCCCTGAACAGCAGCGCACCGGGACGACACACAGACATCTCACCAGGTTGTTCTCCAGGGCCACCTCCACCATGGGGACAGCTTGGGAATTAGTACCTGTAATGGAGACAGCAGGGCTGCAATCCCAAATCGGAGTGTCTGGAGCTCCCACCTCGCCCTGACAGCAGCCAATCTGGAAAAAATCTACCTGACAGATGCAGCAAGGAGGGGGCAGCTCTGATCTTGTTTTCCTTTCCCAGCCCTTTGGTTTGGGATGGCCCAAGGGATTTAGGAGCCTCTGGAGACCCAGAAATCAGCATCAGCAGAGCCAGTCAGTTTGGTGGGAGACCAGAAAGAGGCTCTGGCCATATAAGCAAATAAGCAGTTGTTGGCCTCTGGAAATAAGCACTCTACAAGAGTGAATCTGGGCTCATTTTACTGCAGGGAAGTGGCTCTGAACCCTGCAGGACCCTGAACTGGGTGATGGCTTTCTGAGTTGGCCCAAGTCCCTGCTGCCCGTGGGGTGGCTGGATCCATCCCCATGGCAAGTGCCTCCTCACCTGGGTGCCCCGTGACACGCTCCACCAGCGCCTGCAGCCTGGCTCGGCACTCAGCAAAGTCCCCGGGCTGCGCTCGGTCCCGAGCCACCGGCGGCTGCAGCTGCTGCAGCTCCTCCAGCGAGTCCTTGATGAAGGGCTGCATGTCCATCACCTCCTGCTCTGTGGCATACAGGTTCACCTTCTCCACCAGCCGCTCGCTCGCCTCCATCCGCCGCAGCACCCCCTCCACGCGCTGCAGCTCCCTCGCCAGCTCCTGCCGGCCCTGCTCCTGACGCGCCTCCACCAGCCCCAGCAGCTCCTCTTCCTCCCGCCGGATCAGACGCACCAGCTGCTCCACGTGCTGCCGGATCAGCTCCCGCATCTCCCGCTGCGCCTGCTCCAGCCGGGCGGCCTCAGTCTGCAGCACCTCGAAGGTGGCCTCGAAGCTGCTTCTCTTCTCCTTCAGCCCCTGGCTCATGGTGACCAGCTCCTCCTGCCTGCGCTGGATCTCGCCGTGGATGTCGCAGAAGGGGGCGTGCTGGCTGTCCAGCAGCGCACAGATGCAGCACACAGGCTTGCAGCACTTCTTGCAGTAGATGCTGTGAGGCCAAGCACAAGCAGAGCAGTAATTTGGACCATACAATTTGCAATTCGTTCATTTAGCAAATTGCAAATTTATTCATTCATTGAATTTAAGTTACCACCAAGTTTGGACCAAGCATTTGGTTTTATACTCTCCCAATTGCAAAGAAATATGTTGGTCCACTATCTCCACAGGGTCTCTGCTCATCTGCTGGTCTGGTTAAAGTCACTGTGGTGACTGTGCAAGTGTTATGGTAGACATTCATCCACACACTGCGAGGGCAG